ATTACTCAATACCAAGTACCAAGATTTCCTTGCCAAGTTCATCTTCTCGAAACAACTTGACTTTTTGTTCCCTTCCTGACACGCTGCAAACTCCATGGAATGTGTTGTGTGTTTTTTTTAAAATGCATTTAAGCTTCTTGGCTGACCTCTCCTGCTGCTTTGGAGAAACGTGATGGATGGCCGAAAGAAGACACATAAAAAGCGAGAGTTTATTAGAGTGTCTGTGTATGTGAACATCCAACTCCTGCAGACCATATGTCCCCTAATCTGTCCGAGTGTTGCCTGGCAAAGCACATTTTTATCCAGGCTCATTTTTATGACCTCTGAAGACCCCATAAATATTTCCTTAACACAGGGAGGCCTCGCCGCGTAGGATTAATGGCACCATTGTTGCAAAGGGATGCGGGAACATTGCCAAGCCTTACGCTGTGGCACATCGCCCTTTAATAAACCCAGTTATGTGCAATTTCTTTCTAAGACTTGCCTGGAACTAGGTACAGTGGCTTAGAAGGGGAACAGGCAGAGCTGTCCACAGATGTGGTCAAAAATATTCTCGATGGAAACCACGAGGGTGTACATGAAACAGACTGTTTTTCTCATGTATGGGGGAAGTCTCTTGGGAAACTGCTAGCCAGGCTGGTAGGAGGGAGTCAAACAAGGACCTATCTTGGAATCCACTACCTTGGAACCGGTAGTGGAACAGACAGGATCCCAGTGCTGGTCCAGTCTTTTCTTAAAGACCTTGAATGATGGAACACCCATAACTTCTTAAGGCAAGCTGTTCCGTTGATTAATTATTCTAACAATCAGGAAATTTCTCCTTATTCTAGGTTGCTTCTCTCCTTGATTAATTTCCACCCGTTGCTTCTTGTCCAGCCTTCAGGTTCTTTGGAAAATAGGTAGACCCCCTCCGTCCTCTTTGGGGCAGCCCCTGAGATATTGGAACACTGCTATCATGTCCCCCCTAGTCCTTCTTTTCACCAGACTAGATATACACAATCCAGTTCAGAATAGAGCTGGAAGTGACCTTGGAGGTCTTCTAGTCCAACCCTCCGATCAAGCAGGAGACCCTGTCCTATACCATTCCAGACAAGTGACTGCACAATTTTTCTGTGCAGTGTGACACCTTGAGGGTGGCGGGACAAAAGCTGACCCCACGAAACAAGACGGCAGTGGGTTATTACAGAATCCCCAAACTTGCCCTGGACTGCTAATTGATTGGTTGCCATCTCCTGGATTATGTTTCATCTTGTTCAGCCTTGACATTTTGAGCGTCATGCTCTTCAGTCAAATCCAGCTGCTCAGTCAATACTCATTAGGTTCCATGCCTCAATCTGCCTAATAGCTTTGCTAGCCACATTTAGCCTTTCTTGCCCTGACAATCTGATGATTTAATATCCTGGCTAATTATCCATTGTCTTGCAGTCAACTTGCCAGCTCCTGATGGGTAATTCAATTGTCCATTTCAACAACCCTGAACCTTTCCAAAGGATGGCCTCTCAAAACAAGGGGCTGGGGAAGGAGGAGACCTCTTTGACTGGAAGCAATTGAAATTGAAGACTTCTAATGGGCCAGAAGAATTTCATCCCTCCTTTTTTATTTTGTGAGTTCAGCCTACGAGCGTTCCTTAAAATCTACCCCCGCCTGCTAGTTTTATGCATCAAGTGAATAGATGCATCTGGAATATGGATGCTGTTTGTAATTTTGTGCAAAACAAAAACTTGTTATGTCTCACCTTTCCAAGGAAGATGAAAAGTCCAAACTCTGACAAATACAGGCAAGCAAGAAGATTCCATATTTACAGAGTTAATTCCTTTATACGGACAATGTTCTTGGCAGTAGAACAAACGCTGCCTGCCAAGTCCGATAAGATAACCAGAAGAATTAATCACTAAAGCTTCCAATGCAGACCACAAGAAACAAAACACACTGAAGCTTGACAGAAAAGTAAAACTTTGTCCCGTACAGAGTTTCCAGAGAAAACACACCCACTTTTATCCCCTGTGGGGTGTGTCTCAATGAGTCAGCTCACTCTCTGATTCGCCCACGCCTCCTATGTTGCAGCTCACACCTCTTCCTGCGATGCTGCCTAGGATCAAGCCAACATTCGTCCACTTGATCCCCTGTCAGAGGCTGCTCCGATATGCCCTCCTCCTCCTGATTAGTCTCAGGTTGTCCCCCTCGGCTATCTGCTGAAACCTGAGGCATCATCAGGGAGGAAGGCACTGCCGAAGAGGAAGGCCCTGGGGAGGAAGGCATTCCCAATTCCTCCTCCTCATCTTCCGAGTCCTCCTCCTCCAACAACGCAGGCTCAGGAATTGGAGCCACAACAAAAACTGTGTGCTGCCTTCTCTGTACATGTTGGGGCAGTCAATGAAAGATCACTTGAGGGGGGGAGGTGTTCTGACCTACAGAACAGCACAAAGCCGACTCCTCATCCCGATAAAACCCCTTTTATTTAGGTTAAAGAGAATTCCTCTCCAGCAAAGTCCCTTGCCAACAGACTTTCATGAGATTTCAAAATTACAAATCTTTATCATTGCCAGGCTAGTATCTTTCAGACGCCACACTGTAGCAGACAATACTTCTGCTGAAGAGGAACAGATCTTCACCCAAATGAACTTAATTGTCTCCTGCAAAGCTCCACCCCCCGTTTGCTCCTCTTTTATTCCCTATGGGAGGGTCCATTCACCATCCACCTGTGGCTTTTCTCCCAAGTTGACCCTTGCTCCTCAGCTGTTCCCTTCTTCTGGCAGCTCTGTGCATGTGCACCCTGGGAACAGGCTCCAGCTGTTCTTCTGCTTCACTGATGTCTGACTCCGAAGTCAGCTGATAACTGTCAGACAGCCCTGGCTCCATCTCTGCCTCCGACATAGAGTGTTTGTCAGAGCCTTCCCCAGACTCCAGGACTGGCCCATGTTCCTCCCCAACCTCCTCAGTGTCCAAATCTGCTGCCAGCTCCGCTGGCCACTGGTGAGCTACAACAGAAGATACTTTTAATGTAATCTATCAGATCCCCTGCATGGATTGCCCCTATGACTATGTAGACAGGGAGGAAGCTAACCCCCAGATTGCAAGAACACAAATGAGTGGTCAGATGACGAGACCCCAAACTCACTGCAACAATCAAGAACATACGTTTGATTTTTCAGCTCTACTAAGATTGTTGGCCGAGTAGATACAAAAATAGCCAGGGAAATAATGTGGGAAATGAGCCCCTGGTCACTCAACAGGAATGCTAACTTACCAGCAGCATATCAGGTACTCAGGACTTGGACTTAGTAACACAAGGAAACAACAGCCAATGACTTTAGCTTGCCATCAACATTCCAATCAACAACTAAAAAGCAACACACAACCAGGCGCCACATAAATACTATGCATAGAATAGCCCAAAACACACATTTTGGTGAGAGAGAAGTTGGACTCCAGCACCAGTCTCAGAATCTTGAAGGCCAAGCAAACAACTCATGCTTGAATTATGTACGTCAGAACTAGTTACTTTTTTTTTACAACAGATGAACACATATATCACACTGAGTCTTAACGTTCTAACATTATTTAGATACATTTAGCCAAGTTTAAGATACTATAGGGTTTATTGAGAACGCCAGATACAGTTCACCACTTGTTAGCTTTCATTTCCCTTCTATTGAACTACTGCAGTCAATCAAGTGACTAGCAATCAGGGAGAGATTATTTTCTTTTGAATGCGTCTTTATGGGATTTAAATTTACATTAACGTTTTTGAATTCTTTAGTACAAAATTTTTGTTTCCAGTTAGGACTCTAGCACCAGTCCAAAAGCTCAAAGACTAAACCTTTGCCTTCATTCGCCAATGGAATGTCTCTTTTTCCTTAAGTTGGATTCAAGTTATCAGACATTGTCTTGAGAAGCTTGTAAAGAGCTATTCTTTCAGGAATTCTGGCAAAAAAATCCTCAAACCCCAACCTCCAAACAATTGGGATAATCCAAAGAGATATTTTGATGATTGCATCCAACAATTCTAGCTAAGCTTCAATGTTTCACAATGCTTTTCTTTTATGCTGAATAGCGAAGTGTGAATAATGAAGACATCACACAACATAAGAAGAGCTCCATCAATTTTTTTCCAGCTCAGGTAATCAAAGATATATGAGATTTCTGAATAATAAATGACCATATGTCCATGATATAAATCTTCATGTTTGAAAAGGAGAAATCTAAAGCAAATATCCCATAATGTAGCTTTATCATTAGCTATAAATAAAAAGAGAGGTGCTTGCTGTTTTACTACATTTCCAAGGAAGGTTGGATGCGCACTGGAAAAGGAAGTAATTGGAAACTCATATTATGTCAACTCACCCAAAGATGCTTGAACCCTGTCAAGATCTTTGCAGATTCAAATCCGGAAGCCTCAAAGTTAAGACTTCCCAACCCAGTGTCCTCCAGGTTACAGATTTTAGAACCCTGACTTCCAAGCTCCTTTCATGTTAAGAGAAACGTAGGGTTTCGAAAGAAGAAACTTTTTAAACTTCCAAACTTCTAAAGGTAAAGGTTCCCCTCGCACACGCATGCTAGTTGTTTCTGGCTCTAGGAGGCGGTGCCCATCTCCATTACAAAGCCGAAGAGCCAGCGCCATCCGGAGACGTCTCCGTGGTCATGTGGCCGGCAGGACTCATGAAATATTCTTACCTGCCCACCAAAGAGGACCCTATTTTTCTACTTGCATTTTTATGTGCTTTTGAACTGCTAGGTTGGCAGAAGCTGGGACAAGTAACGGGAGCTCACTCCATTACATGGCACTAGGGATTCGAACCGCTGAACTGCCGACCTTTCTGATCGACAAGCTCAGCATCTTAGCCACTGAGCCACCGCATCCCAAACATCTAGAAACTTCCAAAGAGATTTAGTAGCACCAGATGGAAAGGATAATGAAGGGATAAACACCCCACCCCATACAAAAGAGGGGACGCCACAATGAGAGAACACAAGTCGATGGATCAAGAAAGCATGCATACCTGAGAATAAATTGATCCACTGTGATATTGTTGGTAACTGTCACGGAAGCGGTCACAACTTCTCCCTGCTTGACGGGCTTCAACGGCAGCTGGATGACAATGTCGCTGTCCAACCACAACTCAGTCAGCTGAGAGGTCTCTGGTGCCTGGTGGAGACTGATAGACCCAATGCGTTGTAAGTGGGACATCCTTTCTCCTGCCCCTTCTTTTCCTGGACGGATTGCATTACCCTTTCGTAGGTCTTCAGTGCTACACTCCCCATTTTCACCCCCAGGGTGGATCGCATAATAAAGCTCTACCAAGATCCCATCAGACCGATCAACCACTTTTTTACGGCCAGTGACAACTGTGGGTGGGTTAAACCAAGTTGGCTGAAGATCTAGACTTGCCACACATAATCCCAGGTCTCCTTTCAGCCTGCAGCTACCCCGCACTCCCAAAGTTTCCCAGAAGGCAAAAACATGCATGCAGGGAAGCTGTTCAGACATGCTGTAGTCATCCCAATCTCTCCCCACAATGTAGAAAAGAATTTGGACTTTGGGCCTCGTCAAGTAGATTTTTTCACTCATGATATAGGTTTTCAGCTTCCAGTTGAATGTAAACTTGTTGGTGGACCCAAAAGCATTGGGAGTCAACAGCAGATCCTGAGGGACATCATGTTCCACCAAGAATGGTCCATAGCTAACACTGACAACGGGCCTCTTCTTAGTTTTGTAGGTAAAGAAGGTTTCCACACGAGATTGTAAACTTGAGTTTTTTATGAATTCATGGTTGGCTTCTCTAAGGAAAAATGAAGACTCGGTGCCGGAGATCTGATACTTTACAGGTAGATACGCTGATAAAGATGAAAATTTCTGAACACCGTCAAAGACAACACGTCCCATGGCCACTATTATAGAAAAAAAAAAGGGGGGGGGATTAAATTTGTTAGGTGCCAAACAGTAGTAACTTAAACTTAAACAGATGTATATATAAGATCCACATACATACATACATACATACATATGTATATATATAAGTTTTATTGGTTTTTAAAACAAACATAAACAAACAAAACATAAAAACATCAGGCCATCTTCCATATATGTACATACAGTGTGCCGGTTGGTTTACAAATTGTTTTGTGCTTCCATTTCATAGTCTTCAATTACAATTACATTGTATATGATCTCGTATTTTCAATCCAATATTAAATACATTGGTATCATTATTAATCAATCATTTGACTATACTTTTATTCATTCATGCTTTAGGAAATAATCATATTTTACTTAATTTGTTTTGTGACAATTCATGTTATCATCCCAAATCTATCCTAAAATCATTTTGTAGATACAATAAAAGAATAGATCTTTATATATTTAGTATTTTCTAAAAGTCTACATATTTCGTTACTATACCTTATTGTCTAACCATTGATAGAATAGATCCCAAACTTTATAAAATTGTTTATCATCCTGTTCTCTAATTTCAAATGTCAATCTGCTCATTTCAGCACATTCCAATATTTTCTTAATAATTTCCTCCTGTGATGGTATTTTCTCATTTTTCCAGTTTTTAGCAAATACAATCCTAGCCGCTGTTAATACATTTACAATCAGGTATTTCAAATCTTTACTATATATTTCAGGTAAAATTCCCAATTAAAATATCTCTGGTTTCAAATCTATATGGCTTTTTTTGTCATTTTTTCCAACCACGTGTGGATTTTAATCCAGTATTTTTTAGCATCTGCACAAGTCTACCACATATGGTAATATGAGCCAGGTGTCTGATGACATTTCCAACATTTTTCGGATTTATTCTTGAACATTCTTGCTATTCTTGTTGGGGGAAAATGCCACCTGTAAAACATCTTATACAAATTTTCTTTATATACTGTTGACATTGTCATTTTATAATTTGGAGACCACAATTTTTGCCATTTCTCTAGATCAATCCCATATCCAAAATTCTTCCCCCAAGCAATCATAATTTCTTTAACTTGTTCTTCTTCTAGTTTAATTTCTAATAAATATCCATACAATTTTTTAATCACCTTTTCATCAGTACCTGTCAAAATCTTATCTAAATCAGTCAGTTTATCATAGAAACCTTCTGTTTTAGAATCTTTGTCATAGATTCTAATCTTTGTAGAATCCTTGAATGTATTTGCGCATATGAAAACCAATTCATCTTTATACCTTGTTCCTCTAATTTTTGCATAGATTTCAGTTCACCCTTTTCATTCAGTATTTCACCATATCTAACTGTTTGTTCCTTTTTGTATATTATAGGATAAGAAAATGCTTCAATAGTCGATAGCCAGACTGGAATTTTCAAATAACATTGTCTTTTAATCTTCTCCCAGTTTAACCACAGAGACTCCCGTATATAATGTCTTCTAAAGTACCCCTGTGTTTTAGTTCCTTTATACCATAGAAAAGCATGCCACCCAACAACAGATCATGTCTTTCTAATGTCAACAATCTAGTATTTCTTAATGTTATCCATTCCTTAACCCACATCAAATTTGTAGCTTGGTAATACAACTCCCAATTAGGCAAACCAAATCCTCCTCTTATTCTAGCATCTTGCAAAAGTTTTAACTTTATTCTCGCTTTCTTACCTTGCCATATAAATTTCAACACAATTTTATTTAAATCTTCAAAATAGTCTTTTCCAAGCCTAATTGGAATTGTTTGAAACAAATATAAAATTCTGGGTAATTTATTCATCTTGATTGTTGATATTCTCCCTATTAATGATAGTTGTAAATTTTCCCATTTCGCCAAATCTAGCGCTATCTGCTGTTTAAGTTTAATATAATTATTTTCTTTTAGTGTACAGCATCTTGCTGTCAGGTATATCCCCAAGTACTTGATCTTATTTTACAGAATTTTACAAAACATTACAAGAATCGTTGAATCTTCCATTGCTAGAAATTATAAATGAAGTTATGTTAAAGAAGATGATACCTAAATCATGGTCAGAAGCTTATATTACACTTGTTCCAAAAGAGAAGGCCAATCCATTACAAATCAAGAACTATAGACCTATTTCCCTACTAAATGCAGATTATAAAATTTTTGCTTCAATATTGGCAGAAAGACTTAAAAAATACTTAAATAATTTTATTCATCCTGATCAAAATGGATTTCTGCCAAAGAGACAAATTAAAGACAATATGAGAGTAATCTTGGACACTTTGGAATATTACAAGGCACATTCTGAAAAACAAATGGCTTTGATATTTCTAGATGCACAGAAGGTATTTGATAATGTGAACTGGCGATTCATGTTGTTACTGCTGGAACAGATGGGCTTTGCTAGAAAATTTATTCAAGCAATAGAAGCTATATATCATAAGCAAACAGCAAAGGTAATGATAGAGGGAGAACTGACAGACTCTATTGATATAAGAAAAGGAACAAGACAAGGGTGCCCACTGTCACCTCTGCTGTTTGTGTTAACTTTGGAAGTGCTAAATGGAAATATTAGAGATGAAAAGAATATAAAAGGGATGAAAATTAAAAAAAGGAAGAATTTAAGTTGCAAGCATTTGCAGATGATCTGGTTTTTATTTTAGAAGACCCACTAGAAACAGCATCAAAATTGATAGAAAAGATAGAGACATATGGAAAGGTGGCTGGTTTGAAAATAAATAAAGATAAGACAAAGATCTTGACAAAGAATGTGCTATCAAGACAAGGAAGAACTGGCAGACCTATTGAAAATTCAGGTCACAAACAGAGATATATATTGATACAAAGTTGACATGTATCACATTGTCTTTTCACCTGCTGTGGAGCACCTCATGAGCATCACAGATACATTCCCCAAGCTCGGTGCAAGACATTTTCAAACTTTATCCTGAGATTTATCCTGTAGCTTGAAGTGGTCAAAGAGATATACCCTCTTCTTTCGAGAATATTCCAAAGAGAAGAGTTGAATGGAAGGAACAAGAAGAGATAATCCATCTCACCATCAACCAAACAATGACTCCTAAGATCCTGCTGGGGAAAGCCTTAACAACTAATTTCACACTCTATAAAGCCTTAGTAAGACCACACCTAGAATCCTGCATCCAGTTTTGGTTACCACACTATAAAAAAGATGTTGAGACTCTAGAAAAAGTTCAGGGAAGTGCAACCATTAGGGGACTGGAGACTAAATCATATGAAGAACGGTTACAGGAACCGGGCCTGGCTAGTCTAGGGAAGAGAAGGACCAGGGGAGACATGAGAGCAGTCTTCCAATATTTGAGGGGCTGCCATAGGGAGGAAGGGATCAAGCTATTTTCCAAAGCCCCTGAAGGCCAGACAAGGAATAATGGATAGAAACTGAACAAGGAGAGATTCAACCTAGAAATAAGGATAAATTTTCTAACCATCAGAACAATCAACCCATGGAACAGAAGTTGCCTTCAGAAGTTGTGAGAGCTTCATCACTGGAAGCTTTTGCGAAGAGACTGGACTGACATCTGTCAAAAATGATGTCAGGTCTGCTTGGGTGGAGGATTGGACTAGATGACCTACAAGGTCCCTTCCAACTCTGTAAATCTGTAATCTGTAATATATACACATACACCTGCAGTCTACTTTATTATTACTTGGGGCTCAGTTGGGTTCCATTTATTTATTTATTAAATTTACTTGCCACCCATCTCACCACAAGGAGCTTGGTTCAAGTCAGCTGTAGATACTTCCTTTAACATTAGAATTTTAGCATGTGAAATACCAAGCATAAATAGGACGTACAGTCTAGTCTAGAGCAATGTTTCATGGCTGGCTGGGGAATTCCGGGCGTTGAAGTCCACCTATCTTCAAGCAGCCAAGGTTGAGAAACCACGGGGTAGGTTGCAAACACTAAGTTTCTTACACCGACCCTCAACAAGATGGCAACTTCATTAAAATTCTACCTAGGCGATGCTTTGCAAACATGTCCGTGCCATCTGCCTTCCTGTGAGAATGAGACTTAGTGGGATGCTACGAGATGGAAAACTATAAAAAGTCATCCTTCTTTTTCTTTCTCTCCCACCCCACCCCCGATGAGGCACAGAGGAGAAGACGGCAAGGAGAGCCATAACTTTCAAATGGTTATTTAAGGTGATGCATCTTCATCTATAATTCATACCGAAGAAGGCGAGGGTAGAATTCATTTCTTTCCAAATGAGCAAAGTGCTATTAAAATCCCCAAAACGCAATTTATTAAAAAAAAAAAACATAATAACAGCACAAGTCAAGAAAACACGGAGCAGGGTAAGAGCCTGCCAATGAAAAGAGAATCAAATCGACGAGTAAATTATTATAAATCCCCATCTCTGCCCTCCTTTGTTCCATCTCCATTTCCATCTCAGTCACACCGTAGTTTAAAAAAAAAAAAAGGCATTTCGCTACACATGTTTCGCCAGAGAAACTCGCCGAAATAGAACTGTGGGGGTATCCCGCAGTGACACAGTGCATGTGTTGAAGCCCAGGAGCCTCACAATCTCTTGAATAGCACTTAGACTTATATAGCGCTTCACAGTACTTTGCAGCCCTCTCCAAGTGGTTTGCTCCCAACAATCTGAGTCTTCATTTTTTGCACCTTGGAAGGATGGAAGCTGAGTCAACCATGAGCCGGTCAGAACTGCTGGCAAGACTGCATTCTAACCACTGTGCCCATGGATGGATGGATGGATGGAAGGAAGGAAGGAAGGAAGGAAGGAAGGAAGGAAGGAAGGAAGGAAGGAAGGGAGAAAAGGAATAGCCATAGCACTTAGACTTATATACCGCTTCACAGTGCTTTTCAGCCCCCTCTAAGCGGTTTACAGAGTCAGCCTCTTGCCCCCAACAATCTGGGTCCCCATTTTACCCACCTCGGAAAGTTGGAAGGCTGAGTCAACCTTAAGCCTGGTGAGATT